AGCACAAAATATATCGATAGTGCATTCGCATCGCTTTTCCCATCACTACAATGGCCGCTTATCAGCCACTTTGAAGTGTACGACGCATATAAATAGTGTTGAACTAACTAAATGCTACAACAGTTTGCACTTGCGGCTGGGGATTGCCAGTCAAGTAAATAACAATTGTAAATCCAACGATCAGCTAATTACAAGCACAAACATCTATACGCAACGACATATGTGTATAAATATACATACATACCCAAACGATTAGTCGACTGTTTCTTTGACAATTTTTCAATTGCGTTGTCAGCGCCATTTTGACAATTAGGCAGCTGGAAATATGAAATTTTTTTTACTGCTGGCCCTTGTGGCCATAGCTGCCGCAACAGAGGATGATCCACACATGCTTAGCGACGAATTTATGGAGCTGGTGCGCGGCAAGGCCAAGACATGGACGGTAAGTGTCAATATTATTATTTGGCTTAACCTTCTGCTGACGTGACTAATAATTTAATATAATTTACATTTTAAATAACAGGTTGGCCGCAACTTTGATGCAACCGTATCGGAACACCATATACGCGGCCTAATGGGCGTACATCCCGATGCGCACAAGTTTACATTGCCCGAAAAGAGCCAAGTGCTGGGCAGTCTTATGGAGGCGGATGGCGGCGATCTGCCCGAAGAGTTTGATGCGCGCACTGCCTGGCCCAACTGTCCAACGATTGGCGAGATCCGTGATCAGGGCTCCTGCGGCTCGTGCTGGGCCTTTGGTGCTGTCGAGTCCATGTCCGATCGTGTAAGTAGCGAAGACCATACACAAACAAAGCAGATGACGCAGCTGGCCGATGCTTATCGCAAGTTTGCTTATCGATTCCACAGAATTGCGTTGCAATTTGCGTATCTGTGTGTGTGCGTGTGCGTGTGCTCACTCTTTGTTTAGGCTGAAAGTTTGCTTATTGTTTTTCGTTTTTTGTTTTGTGTAGGTTTGCATACACTCGAATGGCACGGTTAACTTCCATTTCTCGGCCGATGACTTGGTGTCCTGTTGCCACACCTGCGGCTTTGGCTGCAACGGCGGTTTTCCCGGCGCTGCGTGGAGCTACTGGACGCACAAGGGTATTGTTAGCGGTGGCGCTTATGGCTCTAAAGAGGTAAGCCACCGTAGACTACAGCGCCAGATCAACAGTCAGCCACATTGATCAATCGGTTTTTTTGTATCTTGCAGGGATGCAGGCCCTATGAAGTTGAGCCCTGCGAGCATCACGTAAACGGCACACGGCCACCCTGTCACAGTGGCAGCACACCCCGTTGCATGCACCAGTGCGAATCTAGTTACTCGGTCGATTATGCCAAGGACAAGCATTTTGGTGCAAAGGCATACTCGGTCAATCGCAATCCGCGCGATATTCAGCGCGAAATCATGACCAATGGACCAGTGGAGGGTGCCTTCACAGTATACGAGGATTTGATATTGTACAAGACCGGCGTCTATCAGCATGTCCATGGCCGGCAATTGGGCGGTCATGCCATACGCATACTCGGCTGGGGCGTTTGGGGCGACAACAAGGTGCCATACTGGCTAATTGGCAACTCGTGGAACACCGACTGGGGTGATAACGGTTTCTTCCGCATATTGCGCGGCGAAGATCATTGCGGCATCGAAAGCGCCATTTCCGCGGGTCTGCCCAAATTGTGAGCGCTCCAAATGTAACCAATTGCTTCGATTTTGCCTATTCGTTTATATGATAATACACGTTTTCAATACAGTTATATCGTATGTGTAAACAAGTAGCAACGACTTAGTAAATAAATAATAATAAATTAAACAATTAAGTTGGCATTAAATTACCTAAGTTGAACGTGTCAAATTGCGTACAAATTGTACTTTTATGATTTATTTATGCACATCTAAATGTAATATTAGATCAGACTATATATTTTAGCTATAATGGCAGTTTTTTATATATATGAGCCATGAGAAGGTCGCGGTATCTTTGCCGCCCCTGCTCTAGTATATTTGCAGCTGGATGCATACACATCCATGAAGATCTGCCCACCATTCCCCATTCCCCCCACACATTTCGGATTTATATTTTATGATTATTATTATTTCGTGTCGCTGACACTCACTCATGTGATCCGCTGTGGGGCTTATCGGCATTAAAGCAGCGCCCTACTCAATCAGTCGGTCACGGACCGAAGAGTCAATTAAACGATTCGCTGCTTGCCCCAGACTCGAGCTCTGATTTGCTTTGTGGTTCAAACACCCCGCTGAAACTATGGCATAAAAAAATCGTTGGGTTTTTTTTCACATATATATATATATATTTTTTTATTGGTTTTCTTTTTCTTTTGTTTTTTTTTTTTAATTTATAACATCAAATAGAACATTTTTGTTTTTGTTTTTTCCATGAACTTTTTTCTGGCTTTATTTACTTGGAACTGCCTATTGCATTCTCTCTGTTCCCCTCCCTCTCACTATTTTGCGCAGGACATTTAAGAAACAGCTAACATAGATCGAAAAATATTGTGTGGACTGCAATTTGAAGCACTTTGCGAAATTTGGAAACACGCTTAAGTTATTCATCTCCCTACGCTCTTTCTGTATCTGATTCTCTTTAGTGTTTCTCGTTTTGCACTTTACAAAAAGTTGTTTGCTTTGGAAAATATACATAGATGCATTTTTTTAGCATAAATTAAGCTGCGTCTCGTTGTTGGCCAACATTTTGAATGCAGTTTTTCATTTGTATTATTATTATTATTATTATTTTTTTGTAAATAGATTTCTTGCGGATTGCTCCAATTATTTTCTACATTTATACATTTATTTATTTTGTTCTTAGCATTTGACTAATAAATACATTTATTTAAATATTTTCTGTGACACATATCTATATATATATATATGTATGCATGTGTGTATGCATGTATGCATGTGTGTATGCATGTATGCATGTGTGTATGCATGTATGCATGTGTGTATGCATGTATGCATGTGTGTATGCATAACTAACGCATGCTGTTGGACTTTTGCACTTGACGCATTGCATACATGTACATATGCATGTTTATATGTATGTGTATATGTGTATGTACTCGTTTGTGTGTGTAGCAATGGTCGCACACATCTGCAGCACATACACATATACATTTCGTATATAAATATATGTATATATAAGTAATATTACGAGTTGAACGCTTGGTTTATTCTCTTTTGAATTTGCTTTGTTGTCATTTGTTGTTCTGTTTTGTGTTTTGCTCATGAATTGTTTTTTCATTTCATAGATAACATACTTAGCTGGGGCTTATCAGCTAAATGGTGGGTTAAAATATCAATATAATTTATACGGTTTTTCAATTTGCAGCTTGCCTTCATCAAGCATTATTAGAAAAGGACTTGAAGCGTTTGTTTTTTTTTTTTTTTTTTTTTTTTTTTGAGACTTTTTGACGAAATGGAAAAGTGTTGGTTCGGGCTTAACTTGACGAAAGCGGCAACAATTGTTTGAAACATTTGTACGTTACACAACACTTAATTATGGCTGTCATTGAATTGAACTATTTTTGTTTTCAATTGAAGTCATTTCTGCTCTATATATCTTCTTTCAGCCCGAGTACGGCTATCGATAATATCATTTGAGGACTAACTTATCAGATATTATTCGAATTCGAATTGAAATTCAAATCGAGGAACGTATTAAATGTATATGTTGGAACACCTGGTTTTACATCAATTAACTTCATTTTTATTTCTAAACATGCGTAACTATAATGTTATATACCCATATACATATATGTATGCACACATCATTTTAAACTCTTCAATTTGCAATATAGGAATTATATACTTTATAACTCAGCTGAATACTTGCAAGTAAACCAATCTGAGCTTATGCATGCATTTTTTTTGGGTCCACTTTGTACCGTTTGTGTTGGTTGTGTCTTCAAATATCTATTTGTTAGTTTCAATAACCGTGTGTGGACAATATACAATATACAATATACATATGTAATATTACACATGGATGCACATAGGTATTACAATACACACAAACACATAAGTATATAGTTTGTCCTTGCTTCTTCAGGTCGCATTGAGTTTAGGATTGGAGATTCTGTCAATATTGTATATATATATATATATATGCATGTACTCAATAATTGTTTATCACAAATGAGCGCTGTTTTTTGATTATTTCTTTTGTGTAATGTTGCAATGTTAAATCCGGCTTATGGGCAGATAATTCACATATACGCATTAGCTATATACATATTCATGGGTTCTGTTCTGAACTTGAACAGAATAAACAGAACAATTATATATATATATATATATATATATATATATATATATATATATATATGTATGTATGTATGTATGCATATATATATATGTCGCATTCAAAATTTGATTACAAGTTAAGTTTTTGACATTTTTATGCTTTTCTTTTTCTTTTTTATGTACACTCAAAGAAAATGTGTGTTTAAATATTTGACAAAAATATCGCCAAAAAAATGAACATTTTTCTTAAGCTGAACAAATTGTGTTTTTTTCGAGACAAGAAAATTGTTTGAAATTAATCAAATTTTTCATTTTGCTGATATTTTGCAAAGCTTAGGAAACTTTAATTTTTTTCTTTGAGTGTAGAACAATTGTGGTTCTTTAGATATATATATATATATATATATATATATATATATATATATATATATATGTATATTTACTTTTTGATGTTGCACATTAAATAGATTTTAAAAATTTGTTTCTTTGTTGTTGTTGTTGTTGTTGTTGTTGTAGCGAAAAACTATCACAATTATAGAGATTTCTTACGTGTTTCCTTAAGCATTACAAATAGAATCGGATTGTTTTCTTTTGCATTTGGAACAAGTTTTCAACTTTACACGCACACACACACACACACATAAATATAATCTGTTGCCTTTTTGAATTAGTTTTTTGTTGGGTTTCGGCTGGAATTTGTTTATGTTTTTACTGTTTATATTCCATATATATATATATATATATTGTTATTTTCAGGATTTTTAATTTGTTTTTGTTTGGTTAAAGAAATGCATTGAATTTGCGATTTGATTTTGCAACGCTTTTACCTCGACGTCCGACAACTAACCCAGCGATATTAAGTAGTTTATATAGAGATCTTGAATAATACTCGTTTATCTTATCTCCAAGTTGTACTTATCTCCCAGTTGTTCTTTGTCCTTGCACATTTTATGCCACATTATTGAACTTTGTTCGCTTGCATATGTTAAACGGTTTCATAGAGTAAATATATATAGAGTTCTCTTCTTTTTTTTTTTTTCTTTTAGTAATTTTGTTATACAATATATAGCACATAGGCTTGCAGTACCCATACTTAAAGGTATGTCGACTGCTTCTTAAAATTTAGTCAATTTTTTGTGATTTTTGTGATTTTTATGTGATTTGTAATTTTCTTTAAGTGGTTTGAAAAACCATCAAACAACAGGAGGAAACAGTCTTTCTTTCCAGGTACCTGAGAAATAGATCAAAAATAGGCTTTAATTAAAACGTATTTAAACCAATTTTCTTTAAGCTAAAGCTTATTGTTGCATATGAATAACTACTTTTGGAAAAGTATCTAATCACAACTTGTCTTTAGGCATTATTTTTTTTTTAGACTCTTCTAAGTTGTTTCCTAAAAAAAAAAACAATAATAATTGACTTTTTAACAATTTACATTCTGATTGGATTTCTGTTGAAAAATAGTTTTCCGCAGCATTTTGCCTAACTGAAATATGAATTCTTGAAACTAAAGCCTTTTGATTAATGCTCAATAATGACAGATAATATTATTTAAATTACATTAATTGCAGCTAACTGCAATTGATCTCGTCTACTCACCGCGTGACACATTTGACTTTTGTTATATGATGTACAATTCAGTTTATTTTTTTTTAGGTTTTTTCTTTTTTTTTTTTTTTTGAATATTGTATTTTGTATATACACCATATAATTTGCTATATATTGCGCATAATATAAGTGTTTTATGTTTTATACACAGATGTAGTTTATGGTGGCATCGATGCTGACATGTTTTGTTGTTGTTGTTGTTGTTGTTAAGCTGATCCAATAGTATATATATTTAAGATGGTAATTGGGTATTGTTGCATGTCATCTAAACACGTTCGCGAAGCACTTGTTAGGCAGGTTTACACATTTATATAGGATGCGTACAAGTAGAGATATATATGTATGTATCTACATAGTATATAGTTGATTTCAAGTTGCATGTGGCTTGTAATTGCGGGAGTTGCTGGTTGAGTTTCTTATCGATCGTTCAGCATATGCGCTATATAAACTAAGATACGATACTCCTTTCTCTTTCTGTCTCTCTCTCTTGGCTTAGCTCCCTCCTGCTGGCACCTAGTGATGGCTCAGATAGGTCTTGCGCTTTAGATAGCCACTGCGAATCGGTGATGAAAGGCCCGTCTCGTTGCTGCACATTCAATACGATGTCAAGGTATTGGGTATTGTAGCATGTGTGTGTGTGAGCGTGTGCGTGTGTGTGTGTGTGTTGGTGTTGGGTGTGTTGATTTGATGTCAAAATGTTTCATATTAGAATAAAGTTTAGAGTTTGGGGGGTTATTTTTTTTTTTTTTGGAAAAAAGACAGAGGTAAAGTTGAGTGTAAGGTTTTAGTTGATAGCGCTTTTCAAATTCAATATATATACTTTCTTTTATATATATATTGATTATTATTTTTTTTTTTTTGTAATTTGTTTATTGCACAACACAGGATTAATTTAAAATGCTCAGCTAAAATGCATGAAAAGCATATCAAACAAACCAACTCAACTAAAGAAATTATTCAACTCTGAACTCTTTTGTAACAGTTTTTAAACTAATGCGTTATGCGGTTGCATATCAACTACAGTGTTGGTAAACGTTTTAAACTTCATTTGTTGCTTGTTCATGCAGCCTGTTTTAATATACATTTGATGATAAGTGTATAAGTGTACGTGTGTGTGTGCGTGTGCGAATCGCATCAACATAGAGCGAGGGGGGGGGGCGGGGGTCGTGACGTGTTGCAGTAAGCGGTTTAAGCGTTGTTTATCAAAATCAAGAAACAAACAAAGAAAAGATACAATACGAAATCGTAACGTTATAAATCATATGTATGTACGTCTACGAAGTACATATATACAAATATATATATATATATGTAAATATATTTGTGTTTATGTTACTCGAAATAAATAAATAGTTGAAGCTTTTTATTGCATATGTATGTATATGTATATCGCTACTATATGTACACATATACACATGTGCATGTATGTATGCATACTTGTATGTATGTGTGCTGGTTGCTTTTTGGCTAGATTTTGTTTCCTGTTGTTTTTGTTTTGTCCTCGTTATATACAATAACAATAATATCAATCCAAATAATACATGATATACAATATGAAAAGCACTAATAAATATACATGTGTATATACATATATAAATATATATAAAAAAATAAAACTAGAACTTAGCATATTAATAATACGGCATTTAAATAGTTTTCGATAACTTAAAGCTAAATCCATGAAAATAATAACAAAATATTATTTATATATTGATTTTTTGTGGACTAGGCAAAGTTGTGTGTCTGCTGCTGGTGGAGGGGCGGATGTACACGGAGGCCATGTGGCCACATGGGATGCTGACTCAGACGGGACTGCGAGGAGACTGGGCCGGGACATCATCCTTGCCGGCAGGCTCATGCTCATACACAATGCCCTCGTTCAGTTGGGCGAGGCTGTTGCTGTTGGGCGTGGAAGGTTGGGCCTCAAACGCATTGCTGATCATATTTGGCCACATTTGGATGGGGTGTTGGTGGTGGTTTGTGGGGTATTTGGAAGGAGACATGATGCATGATTAGGTGGCTCCAGAGAGAGAGAGAGGGTTTTTAGCTCAATTACAATATTAGCCAATGGCTGTTAACGTAGGACAAAGTTTCAGACACGGAACTCTGTGCATGCACCGTGTCAGCAGCTCTCGAACACAATACAAATCAAACCAACAATTAAAGACACAAAGCATAAACACAAGGTTAACGAGAAATTAAAATAAAATAAATAAATAAATGGGCACAAAACACCAAGTACTTAGAATACAATACACATTATACAAATATTTGCCAATTAACACTAACACATACACATACATATATACAATTTACACAGACAAGACAGAAGACTCCACCACAGCTGCCGCATGCCGCCGCCAGCCTCGGAGCCTGGTAGCCACAAATGTGCTTTCTCATTGGGGCGACCTACCTTCTGCGTCGCGGATTTGCCGATTGTCCAGGCAGATTGAAACAGCCACGTGGTATAACCATACGGGCATTACCCTTGGCCGGGCGGGAGCCACCGACTACCTGTAGACCAGCCAAATGGGCGGCATATCCCTCGCTGAGCACAGTTGCATTCGATTGCAGTTTCTTGCCCACCTGAAAACAAATAAATATATGTTAAAAACGTATCAATTATGTGATATAAATATGACCTGGCTATGGTACAAGAGAACAAACTACAAAAAAATATTACAAATTGATCTGAGACTGAGGCCAATATGATCATGTATATCATGTACCTTGCCAACAATAAAGATCTGCTCGGGTCGCATGCCCACATTGGTGTAGACGCTAATATCCTTGCTGCTGCCGTAAGCGGCGGTAATTGAGATTCCATGATTTTGCACGAGATTATTCAGATAGGCGGTCTTGTGGCCCAGCGGATCGGTGGAGAGTCCATCGGCGAATGAAATCAGGCCATGGGGAAAATTGTGCTGGCTGAGCCAGGAGACAACACGCTGCTGTTGCATATCCGGCCGTCCGGTGATATAGATGAGCAAATAGCCCAGCTCTTGCCAATGGCGACAGACATCGACTGCACCGGCGCGCACCTTTGGATCACGCCCAGTCACCGACATGGATGCCGTAAATGAGCCATCAATACTGAATACAACGCACTCGGTCAGCGGGGGAACCACCGCCATATAGCAATCGACGGATGTGTGATCGCCGCGCACCACCATTTTGATCGGATAGATGCCATAGCCGAGAGACAGATGGTCGGGAATGCTGTACGAGATGCGTCCATTTTTGTCGGTCACTTCGGTAGTTAGGAATGTCCATTCGCCAGCCGGTGGATCCTTCATAATGTGCACGTCCACCTTCTCGCCGTGCAGCGTTATCATATCGAGCGGTCCATACATGAAGCGCGCATTTAATCGCTGTTCGCGCCCCTCCTGCACAATGACATCGTTGGCCCGATGATTGGCCGCCACATTCTTTAACTTGACAGATGTACGCTTCTTGATCCACTTCTCGCGCGGCTGCCCCGGATGAAATGATGTGGTATTGTCCTTGTCATCGTGCGAGCCCACAAACGGTATGCCCTCGAATTTGCCAATCTGGCGCAATATAAAAGCAATCACATCGGGACTCTCCCAATAGCTGGCATGGAATAAATGCGGCAGTGCGTGTGCCGGAAAATTGCTTAAGCCCTCTGGGCAATAAAGCGCATAATCCAAGCGCTTTGTGCCCCACCATTTGTTCTGAACTGCAATATGAAATTTGTGTTGGCAAACATTTGTAAAGTCATATATACTTGATTCAGATGCACACTTACGGGAGTGTATAGTACTAAGCGAAACATTCTCAATGAGACCCGAAATGGTGCTCTGCATCGATGCATCCGATAGGCGTCTGCTGGACAGCAAATTGTTGCCATCATTAAAATGCTGCGGATGCGATTGTATTACCTCCACTGCATCACAAAGAGCGAGAGGGCGAGAGAGCGAGAGAAAGAGAAAGTGGCATTGATTTAATCATGTGTTACTGTAATGCATGTCAATCTCTGCATCTAAATCTTAACTTACATAAATGCAGCGGCTGTCCGTTGCCCAACGGATATTTGGCATAGCGTGGCACATTGACCGGCGACAGTATAGAGAACCGTGCACTTAGGAGCGGCTCGAGGCGTGAGGCAATTGGATCGGTTGGATGGAACAGATTATACACCTGATGGCAATTGGGACGAGCCAGCGCCGCTTTGGCATCATGCAGTTTTCGTGCGGCAAGCACAACAGACAGTGGTGAGCCGAACATAAAGAAATCGCTGACCTCAAAGTCCAATTTGGTGGCACGTGAATCGCTTGAGGAACTGGAGCGACGACGTCGCGGCGATGGCGCGACCAGCAAGCGTTTCGCATCCAAATCAGAGTCAATGAAACGCTCATCATCATCCACGCGGGATATGCGGCTGCAATCGCCGCCGCCAGCGCTAACCGAACCGTGACCCGCTGTCTGATTGGCGGCATTTGATTGGCTGCCATTGGAACGACACAATGCTTCGTAGGCCAGCAGGGAGCCCATTGAGTCGCCCAACATAACTATTTGGCCGGAAAAGCCATGACCCTCTTCCGACTTGAGGAACTCGTGATAGACAATGTTGGCAGCGGCCACAGTCTTGTTGACTGTTTCCTGGAATTCTGGAGAGGCCACGGCCAGTAGCGGTATGGCTCCAATGGGCACATCCGCTATATTTGGTATATCCGCCGCCGAGGGCGACGCATCGAACGAATACGGGCTGAGGCTGGACAGTATGCCAAGTGCGTCGGTACAAATCGAGGGGCACGGTACCATCTTAATGGTCATATGCGTCAGGAGACTGGGATAATGCTGACGCATAACGGCCTCAAATGAACCTCGAAATGTTGTCACATCCGATTTTTTGGCGGTTAGCTCGCTGGCTGCATCCAACACACTGCCAGCGTGCACCACCAGCATCAATATGGTGGTGGGGCAAGAAGGGGTGCTCGGTGAGCCCGGCGGTGATGAATCGTGACTACGATCGATGCTGGCCGAGGAGCGTAACTGTCGCTTGTTGCCGCGCTCCGAAGCGACGCGCATTAAAAAGTCCTGATTAAATATGCTGTCATCTTGTTTATGGCGTCCAGCGATGCCGCCAACGCCCCCAGCACTGCTGCTAGCACAGCCGCCATGCGGCGGTGGGCTATCATCGCCTTCCCCCAGCAGCTCAAGTGAGCTCCATTTCGCCAACGAGTTCGATTCGTTTGTGTCTACAAGAGAAGCATAAATTAGCTGGACATCCATATTAAACATGCCACGGCGCACTTACCCAAACAATCAAAGAACTCCTCGTCTGAGTTGGATTTGGAGTCCACCTCAAGACGCTCCATTCGCCAGTTGGCCACCTGTATGCAGGCACAAAGAAACCTCATTAATATGCATACGTTAATTGTATATTATTGGGCTGCTATCAATCGATATATGTTGGTCTACTTGGGGATCCTAAATGGAAGCGGGAGCTGCAACTGAAATTAAAACTTACATGTCTGCGTGGTGCTGGCTTTGCATGCGATTTTTTGGGCAGCTCATGGAACGGAATCTGATCGATGTTGAAGTGTTTTTTTTTTTGTGGTAGTTGTTGGATTTGAATTTGTGTGACAAGAGCAAATCAAAGATTATTTTTTTTTTTTGTTGGTAAGAACACAGCTCAAAGGACACATAAACAAACACAAAAACAAAACAATTTGAATATAAACGAAATTCGATACATAATGAAAACATAAGTTAAAAAAAAAAGTAAAAATAAAAATAATTAAATTACATTTTCGGCGGCTTTTACCAGTTCTAGAAAGCGCCACAAAAGCCAAATAAACGAATTTGTAAATTTGATCAGCAAATACTTGAACATTGAAGCTTGAATCGCAAATAACTTGTGTGTTGTTTTAATGTTCCCGATTCTCAGGATTAATGCTGAGTAAGACATTGATTGCACTTAGATCTTGGACAACTTTCAGCACATATAAGTATTATTATAAGCCCTGGATAAATGTATGCCTGGCCATCGACAATAAAAAGCACAGTTTTTCATGTGCCTGTCAAAGTTGATCGCCAGTTATTTAAATGGTTCTGTGAATTATTTATCAAGCAGACAGTGCAACTAGCAGAAAATGTGAATTGCGGCGTAGCCACCTTGCCAAATGTTGCACACGGCAGCAGACAACAATGTTTATAGGCAAATGAAATGTTGCCAAACAAATGTCGATAGTCAAATATGTTGCCAACGACATTTGCATGGAGCGGAGGCAAAGTCAATAAGCATCATGGTAAATTGCAATGATTAGAAGCTCCTTTGCTCGACTTGTAGCAAACGCAAGTGAAGCAACACAGGACAATGACAGAGTACTGGAGAGAGAGACAACAACATTGATACAGCACAGCACAATGGATGAAAGCCACCGCAGCAGCAGCAGCAAGATCCGTAGCATAGCTCACCTGCAAATCAAAACTGTGTGCAGATCCAATTGGCGAATGTAGGGCACCTTTTGAGCCAAACTTGGCCTTGTTGGCCAACTGAATGCTCTGGGAGCGCGAGCGCTGATTGCTGCTGCTCTGAGCAGCGCCCAGCTCCACGTTAGTGCCGACCCCGTCATTCTCATCCTCATCATCATCGTCATCCTCCTCCTCATCGGAGCTGGCCTCGGCGCTCGGTGGTTGTTGTGTGACAATCGGCGGCAATGCCGGCGCAGACTTCTTGCGCTCACTGGTGCCCAAAGATGGGGCCGTTGTTGCGCTGCTCACATATGGCTCCGAGGTGCTGTCTGCTCGTCGTGCAGAAGAAATGTTCATTATGTGAATTTAGACCGATCTGGACGTATGCTTACCATCACTGCACTCCTCGCCGCCGCCCATTTTCTTGGCCAGGGCCAGCTGGGTTTGGCGCTCCAGCTCGCGTATGTCCTCAATGGTTAGGCCATGCCACTCATCTTGCCATGCCCAGGCCTGGCGATGGGCTCGGAGCATTGTCTTGCGCAGCGCCACATCGTGTATGAACTTCTCCAGCTTGGTTTGCATGCCCCAATAGCGGAATTCGACGCGACAGATCTTGTAGGCGGTCATCAGGGACATGTTGCGTGCCGTTGGCTGCTTCTTGCCCTTCACCTCGCGCCAATACTCCTCCAGCCAATCGTCGGCCAAGGGGCCGCGTCCCGTCTTATCCGATACGAAATGCTTGGGATCCTCCTCCTTTACATAATCGCCGCCCCACAGCTGATCTTTGACAATATCGATCACATCTGTCGCAAAATTAGGAAATCAATTTATTCGGCTCAGTTTTATTTATTAACTATATCTTTGACCTACCCACAACGCGATTGCGCAGATCGCTGCCCGATAGCTGAAACACATTATCCTGAAAGCCATTGTCCGGATGGTAATAGGTCTCAATGTCCAGCGAGAATTTCTCCACAAAGGGACAGGTGTAGCGTGTTCGCGTATATGGATAGGCATTCCATGCCTCCTCTTCAACGGTCAGTGCGCTCTTTGGCAACAAACCTAAAAGACATCGGTCAATTAGATTTGATTAAAAACAAATAAAAAACGTTTTTAAAGAGTTGAAAGTCGCTAGTGCTTGACTAGCAGATACCCTGTACCCAGACAGAGAAACTCAAGCCCACGCTTTAGATTATTTATTATTCATGAATAACTCTTGTGTTTATAGTCCGATCTTTGACAAATTTGCAAATCTTAAATATGACAAACAGGATTCATAAAACGAAGGTAATCAAAAAGTCAATTATTCTTGATGTCTATAAATTATTATTATTATATATAAACTAGATCGACTTGGTTTAAGAATATATATCTATATAACTAGCTATATACAAATAACCATTTTAAATGGAATTACAGTGTTAAACCTCACTTACTTTTTATCCAGCCTGGCAAATGGCTGCCCACGTGATAGATCTTTTTCGTGTACTGGCCATCGCCGCCGGGTCCATCCTTATAGGGCTCATTGATCATGATCTCGACCCCGCTGCCTTCACCATGGCTTTCCTCGCGGCTCTTTTTCTGTGCGCAGCAAGTAAATTATTAAATAGTTAGTCCAAAAATAAGGTTTTTTTGCCTATAGCTTAGCATAGAGTTAAGGCAACAGCCACTTTCCATAGGAAAAATATACTATGCTTTATTTAGCATGTTTAGGAGATGGGGGATTGGAGTTGGACAAGCAGACGGATATGACACGTTGAACTCTGATCAAGACTATGGACACAGGCACTAGCGAGAGGTTAGTCCGAATAGATTAGCCTAGCCTTGTAAGTTCTTAAGTGCAGGTCCATTAACTAGAGGCTATAAAGGATGAATGCGTTTCGGGAATTCGAAAGAAATTCTGTGGAATATCTAAGTAACTGACTCTCTAGAAAGGCAGAGCATGGGCTGTTTCTAGACAGGAGCTTGGCCGAACTACGTCTAGTTAATTAGCTCTATGGGAAACTTACCGCTATCATATACAGCTGGGCGATCCGGTACTCCTCGACGGTGAGGGGCAGTGGTATGCGGTACTCTTTGATCAACATTTTTGGTTATTTTTATATAATTTTGGTCAGCGTCTTTGGTTGTAATACGGCGGGTTTTGATATCTTGCCTTCAATTGTGCTCGGTCTCTCGGTCCCCTGTCTTTCTCTTTCTGATAGAATTCTTATGCCTCAGGCAATCATCGGTTGTTGTTAAAGTGTTTGTTGTTGTTGCTGCTGCTGCTGGTTTGGCTGTTGTTCTTGCCGCTGCTGCTTGTGCTGCGCATGGCGGAGGCGTTGGCGGCGTCTATGACCTGCAAATGTGGCAAGGTTGGATTAAGTTGTGGCCTGGGGCTGCTTGAGCTTGGGGTTGAGGGGAGGTTGGTGGCCGGAAACGTTCCCTTAGCTAGTTGCTATGGCTTCCATGTTGTGTGCCGCAATATGAGTGCTTCATGGAGCGAGCTTTAAAATGTGAATTACCATCTCGTTTATTGGTTCGCCCAGGGAGACGACATTCCGACTGTCAGGCGGGGCACTCGAGCTGTCAATTAAACAACTAGCGGCAACGAGCCAGCATGGAAATGAGAATGAAAATGTCCGATAAGGTCGACTCAGCTCGCATTTCTTAATAGGCAACAGGCACAGCAACGACCACAAAAACAAGTTGTCCAATTTGACCGACTGCAGGATATCCTACATCAGGTTTGAAGTGGCCATAATACTAAACCCTAAATATTCTCAAATGAAAAAGTAATCGAAATAAACCGACAAATCTTAATGTGTAAATGTATCGATTTATACAAATTTACAACAATCGAATTTGCAAGATTGAAATCTCAAGAACTGCAGGTCTGCAAATGAGAGACGAACGGAACCATTCGTTACGACTTTTTAATGAGTACAGGGTATCGCGAGAACACTTGAAGTGAATTTGGTTTATCGTGCATATTTTTTGCCGTTACCTTGAACCGCTTTGCTAATTGGATTTATTGTTGACTACCGACAACTGCCCCCCCCCCCCCCCCCCCCCCTCCCCATCAAAGAACAGAGAATAGACCATTCCCCGCTGGCACAGGGCTATTTTGTTTCTGTTCTTGTCAGCGCTTGACCTACGCGATAAACAAAGAAACCGTGGGTCGGCAGTGACCGACTAGCAGCTACCCTGCACCCATTTCAAAGATGCGGCACCAAACATAATAGCTTTCTTTTCAATTTTCCTCTATAAAAACCAAACAAAAGCCAGCTCAGTTCCAAACTATGTAGAGTTGGACATTTAATAAGTTGGGTGTTTATAGTTGGATATTTAGAAAAGGTCAAGGTTTAAGTTCCTGTATATTCAATGCAATCAATCAATCAGTCAATCAATCTCTATATTTTCCAATTTGGGGATAAACTCAACTTTGTGTGCAGCTCTTAAAACCTAAGAGATATGTTTAAAACAAAATCCAATTTGCTAATCGATAGTTATCGACAAATCGATTTTTTGATAACAACCTGATTTGCAGTCTCTACCTCTTCTATTTTGACTGAAGGTCAAACACAAAGACGGACAAGGCCACGTTAACTTGTCTATTGATGTTGACCAAGAATATCCTACTCAAGACAGACCCTTCTGCCTGTCAGATACACTTGACACATGCAAAGGGCACAGGGTATAACGTGAGAGAGAGAGAGAGAGAGAGAGAGAGAGAGAGAGTGGGAAGCCTCGTTTATATGGTTTTTCTAATGTAATCGATCCGATTACATGACGTGCTGATCGTCACGCTTGTTCACATCCACAACTTTACAAATTAAATAGAGCTTTTTAAGCGAATTCGCAGACAAGCGCCGTATAGATAAAAGTGTAAACAATGATTGCGATTTATGGAACAGCTTTGTGCGTTTGGCTTTTACGATCTAGACAATTAAAATAGCTGAGATATCAGTCAAATAAGTGCTCGACTAGAAACAGCAACTGCAACTGTCACAACGCGAACTTAACCTTTGCACCGTAAGGTCAAATGTATAAAGCTTGAAAACTAACCCGTTTTAATCCATTTTATATATGTACATATATTTTTAAGGTCAGGTTCGGCTGCTCGTTGCGCTGAAATGTCAACTTGAATTATTTGTCAATTATAAGCACAAAACATTGAGAAAAAGTTTATAGCTAAAAAATGACTTGATCTTGCCACGGTTCGAATCCCCCTTTGTGACCCACATTTTCGACATACTCCCTGGCTCTTCTTCTAAACACATCTCTCATAGTATTAAGTCAAGCAAATATTAACTCCAAGTTGGCCTTGAAAGTCAGCTCTAGTTCAATTTTTCGGCGTTGCATGTCTTCATCATTTTATTGATTAGTGGATTTCCGAAACGCATGAAACACGCCGGAAGTGAATTCACGTTAGGAGCTTTGTTTCAAGCCAATGAAATGCAAAACAGAAATGTTTTTTGCAACAGATATTCTCCCATATTCCACCTAAGTATGTAAATATTAATAAAAATCAAACTAGCAAAGTTTGGGCTGGACGTTGATTATCAGTCCGTCAGTCAGTCAGTCAGTCAGTCAATGAATGAATAGTTATCTTCAAAGGAACGCAGATAAACGAGGTGCGATCTTTTTGTATATTTTTAAATAGATACTATAATAGATTTATCTATATATGGTTTTTTTTTTGTAATATACAATAGCTCAGTTTTCGTCTTATAGTTCCTATGTCAGGTGTATGATAGCCTTAATCTAGAAAATGATAAGTTTGCATAGAAACAGCCAGAACTTCCTGATCAGGTATCTTCATATATTTCATTTACTGTGCGGATGCCAACTTCAATAAGTCTCTTGACGATTCACCTTTGGCAGGTGTTTTAAAATATGACTTTTAATTAAATAAGTCTCGTACCAATTCCCAGCCAAGTCGGAACCAAGCTCTGTGGAGTGGCATCATGTGTTCACCCTACCTGAAAACCTTGCTCTACTGCGAATATTATTTTAATCTTATCGTTTCATGTGTGATAAATTGTTTATGCCGTATGCCGTGTGCCGCTTAACGGAAACCCTTTGTATACTCTTGCAGAATATATTATAATTTTGTCTATAAAGTGTATAACTTCTTGATCAGCCGTGTCCGTTAGCCTGTCTCTTTGCATAGAACCGACCGGATCGGACTACTATATCGTTGAAGAGTCAAGTTCCTCCCGTGAGCAACATCTTATTAACATCGGAATACAATATCATATCGCTTGAGAAGTTTTTCTAGATATCAGAATTCTCCTGTAATTCTGTAAAGCGGTAAGCCATATGTCTACATCGGGTATTGCCGCATTTAAATTTTCTTATTTTCTCACATAGTATTTGTGCAGCTTAATAGCTAAAGGAAGAAGAAGAAACGTATGTACTTGAACATCCTGTGACTAGAGCCCATCCACCTAATGGGCACAGCCTTGCCTGGATGGTCACTTTGCGGTCGTCTCTCTGGCAATTGGAACTTAATTAATGGCATTTCATGATTGACAACTATTTCCCCGCCCCGCAGCGCAACGCTTTGCATTTCCCTTTGCCACTTGCCCTTTGCCCTTTGAGCACCCACACACGACCACCATGCACATTATGAGTTGGATGTGTGCCCACTAAATAACAAGAGACACAAGAGACAGTAATCAATAATTATGGGGGACAGTGGTGTGGGAAAGAGAAGGCAAACAATATGGACAGAAAATAAATACATACTTATGTTGCATACTGTTATATTACATGCACATCACATTTCACGGTAGATCTCGAGATATACTTAAAGTGTCGGTTGAGAGAAGTCGGTAGAAGGAAACTCTTTCTATATATGGGTATAAAAAGTCGTACATCCTCGGGGAAAACAAAGAAATTATAAATCTTGGCTAAGCCATGGTAAAGAAAATATCAATAAACAAGTAAGAGGTTCTAGTCGGGAGCTCCCGACTAGGGGATACCCTGAACCCTCTTCTTCCAACATCAACTGCATATATATTCTATTTTAGAAGTTATATGTCAAATTTGTTGACTCTAGCTCTTATTATTTACCAAAATTGCCCAAAAAACTGGATATCGATATCGATTTTTATCGATTGCTCGATTATCGGAAACAAACTCGATCTGCGCGGGAACTAGGAGCACCTACATCTTAAATTTCAAGTCTCTAGCTCTTATAGGTTCTAAGATCCTTGCGTTCATACATACGGACGGACAGACGGACATGGCTAGATCGACTCGGCTATTGATGCTGATCAAGAATATATATACTTTATGGGATCGGAGATGCTTCCTTCTGCCTGTTACATACATTTGGATTTTGCACAAATACCATATACCCTTATACCCAATTTTAATGGGTTCAGGGTATAAAAAGTATTTCGTTTTTCCTTTGGACTGAGTTTTAGTAACTCTATTTTTGATATAAATTAACGTTCCGAGATATGGGTCTTATCTAGAAAATCATAAAAGTCTGCGAAAAGCGCCCAAATTTCAACACGATTTCGCACATAAGCTTGAGCGAAAAATAATGATTAAAATCAAGTTGAAAGATTGCCTAAAGAAAGATTGCAAGCCATCCATCTCTATAGGTAATTATATTTTAGGCAAAAAACAAAAAAAGGAAAGGAATGAAAAATGTAAAAAACAATAAACAAAACGGTGCTAAACAAAATCAAAAAAGCCCATTTTGCAGATTTATCTTAGCTGTATGTGATAGTAAATAAACGTACAGATGTACTCTGTGCACGTGTATGTGTGTATGTTAGTGCCCGTTAAAAAGAAAACAAAAATGAGCAAATAAATACATACATATGTACACACATGCATACATACATATGCATATGTTTGTACTAGTTATGTATCCGTTTTGAAATCTGTGCACTTTGCACGTAACATGAGCGCGGGTCGTGTTTATAGCCTGTCTGTCATCTACAGTTTGTTTTATAACGATCAAGCGTACATATGTCAAGGGGCTGGGCTGTCGGTCGCAGCGGGAAGTTTGGGGTGCAGCAGCAAAATAACTGAAAATTGTATAAGCTGTGTGACACAAAGCTAGCATAGCAACGGTAAAACGCCCAACAAGAACAACAATAGTAAATGCACGTAATGCGTTTCAAGACAGAACAAGAGCAAATAACAGAAAGAGAAGCAGAGCTGATGCTGCGCTCTTCTTGTTTGCCCACACTTTTAAGGGCTGAGTGTGTTATTGTTTGTACGCGTTGCTGCTTGATGAATAAATTGCCACAGTAATTGGACGCAAACAAATGTAAGAAAAAAGAGAAAAAAAAAATGAAAAAACCCAAAAGCGCAAACGACAATAAATGACGTGCTGCCGCTGTTTCTGGCCATTCAGGCAGAAATAATTGAACGTGAAAGCCCCGGAAGCGAAGTGGGACAGAGAGACGAAAACAACAATGCAGGAGGAGTGCGTGCGTAAGCCAGCGCAAAGAAGAAGCATTGAGAGTTGTGATTGTATTGGTGATCATTAACAGTAGTGTCTTGCTGTTGCATTTCGGTGTCTTCGGAAAAATTCGCGCGCGCGCGCGCGTTTGTGTGTGTGTGTGTGAAAGAGCAGCCGAATTAACACACGAGCAAGATGCGCGGCAGGTGGCAGAGTCTGTGCAAGGTACAAGGGTTAACAAGTTGAGCAGCAGCAGAAAAAGTGGGTAAACTTTTGGCACACACACTTAGACAGAGGCAGAGGCAGCGGCAGAGACGCGCATATACAATTACGTATACGGGTGTTGTTCGCAGGGGTCGAGCACTCGCTCTCTGTGCACACCTGTGGCGCGCTTTATGTTTATTTATAATTTATGTGTTAATACAGCAACAGTGGCCAACAACAGCATAATGCTAATCCAAGCGCACGCACTCAAAATACATATTTTAGCCCTAGGCTCAAATCAGCCAACCACAACAGAGAACAAAAACAACAACAACAACAACAACAAAATCACTAGCACAAGAGAACATTTCAATGATACAACTGGGAACCGCAAAGCATTTAATTTTAGCTGCGCCTCGTTTTGGGAGCTTCAATCAAATCACACGCACAACAAACAATGTGTGAGGTCGTCCGAGACACGCAAAGAACATGAAACACGATTTGGAAACGGAAAAGGTGGGCTCCAAATTTAAATGCGAAACTGCAGTTGAAAATTCTTATCACACTTACACATGCATGCATACGCATGTGTAATGCATACACACGCATGTTAATTGTGTGAGTGCAGCGTGCCTTTTGGTACTTGTTGTTCTTGCTGCTGCTGCTGCTGGGATAGAAACCTTGGGAGCTGGAGAGAGCAAAGCTCTAGTCCAGGGTCTGAGCTTACGCATTTACGTTTACGCGCTCACAACTAAACGTACGCCACCCCCCACCCCTGGCCACACAGACGCACTGCACACAGTACTGTTATCCTGACGGTTTTGCGCATTTATCAATTTTCTTGCAACAATTTTGCAACAATAACACAGCACAGGAAAAACAAAACAAAAACATACTTATGTTGCATTTATAAAAAAAACTCACTTATGTATGTGTTGCCAGCAGCTGTGCTCGATTAAAAACAATACTGTTAATGAAAAACAACAACAGCAACGAAAAGAAAACAGAAAATTGTTCCTTGATTGGGCGCTTTTTATGAAAACTGTTTTTGACGCGCTGCTTAGCAAACATCCACACACGCGAGAAGAAAATTGTTTGTTTAATTTTCTTGCCTTTTGCTGCTTTTTGCAATCACAAAACGCACACAGAGAACGAAAGCGTAGGCGTTGCGAGCGACGGCAGCACCGACCGACACACGTCCGCGTTCGCTTTTGAACTGAAACCGAAAACGAACCAGCTGAAAAGCAGCAGCAGAAGCGCCAACTCGCTGTGATAGAGAAGAGAGAGAGAGAGAGTAAGAGAGCGAGCGAGAGCGTATGGGGCATTCCAGTAAACACGGTTGCCAATTGAAGCAAGTAATTTGTTCCATAATTTAATTTAGCTAAAGTTAAAGTATAATTCGATCTGTTTTTGGATCTAATCATTTAAGTTCCGTTAACATTTGATTAAAATCAGATGATGCGAATTGTAACTAAAGAAATCTTGTAAATTTCGAATATGAGGCAACTTTTTCCGTAGTATTTTAGTTTCAAAATAAACCATTTTTAATTTCGCGATTCATAATTAATATTAATATTAATGTATGTTACTAGTTTTTGATATATTTTTGAACACAGTGTTGTCGTTTTCACACTTGCTCAAGTCGGACTTTGCTATTGAATTGGTAACAATGTTCAATGAAGAGTGTTGGCTAATGACTCGCAGAACGCCCGACTAGATTTGATCAACGTAGCAAAAACGCGCGATAAAGCGTCTGAACACAGGCGAAACGCTCTCACTTGTCTCTAAGCCGTAGGCAACGGAAATTTACGAAAGGGGTTTGCAAATCAGATTTCGCTATTATATGTATGTCTTTTACGTTTGCAGCTACGTACCTCAGGTGTCGACGTCCTTGTGCAGCGTAGCACAGAGATAGAGAGAGAGTGAGAGCAAAAGCGATTCGTTGCCGTTGGCGTCTATTTTGAAAGGGGGGTTGCTGATGGCTCGGGGCAACTGACTGACGTAAAGGTCGCGGTGGGCTGCCAAGCATCCCACTTATAAATGTGCATATATGTAAGTCTTTCAAAAAATAAAAAAAAAAAATAAAAAAAAAAAAAAACACAGACTAGATAATGAATTATTTAGATTGCCATCTATGTAAATACTTACGTATGTATTGGGGCTCATATGCCGAGCAACGGCAACCCCATCAACACAAGCATACCGAAACGTACGAGGCGCTGCTGCGTCGTTTCAGCGGAAACAGGAAAATCAACAAACAAACAAACAAACACGCATACTGATGTTTGCTCTTGTCACTGTGGCCTGTAATCTATTGTAGCCTCCGATATAGAGTTCAACTTTGACATTTACAAAGTAAAACACACATAGCGCATGCTCCTCAACTCCAGGAGTGCGACCACACACACACATTTAAATGTTAGCCCGCACATGCATATACATACACACATATATGCATACTCTCACAACAGACTCTAACAACGCCAATCAAAGGAAGCGCAAAAATTTAAACGCTTTTATTCGGTTGAACAAATTTATCGATACCAGGAAATGCATCTCAACTTAACTAACATTAATGTCCCGCAACATATTAACATAGATGTATTGAATTGCGCGCAAAGTTTGAATAATGAAAATGAACGCAATGCCAAGGGATATCCAATTAGTTTAATATGGTAATAATACTTACTATATGTATCATACGCATAGTAATTAGACTAAAGTAATTATAATTTATAAGCTTCTGACTCTACAACTCTATGTCACCGACATTTCGTATACGCTTGACTAAATGCAATGATAAGTTTGAATTATATGTATATATATTCTTTTATTAATATTAGCAATTTAAGATAATTACATTGCCAAGAAAAATGAACTAGCGAATTAAGATTTAAAAAAAAAAAATGAATGAAACAGCATAATTTTTTTTTTGTATCAAAAGAAAATCGTGCATTTTGCTTACTCGCAAGAACTTTCACATTTTTCTTTGTATGGGGAGCACTCTGTGTGGGATTTTTGAAGATGCCTCTCTTACTTTGGCCATGCCTTTTACTAAAAACATAGGGATCGGGGATTGGGATTGGGATGGGAATGGGGATGGGTGTATGTAGAAGTAGTTTATAACTGGATACAACTACTGTGTATATAACGACTATGGCTTTTGTGTGGGTTAGCATGGTGCGACGAGCGACGGCAACAACAGCAGCGTCGGTTGTACAGCAGTTAGCGGCCCAGAATGTTGCGAGACCATTGCTTTACCATCGGCTTGGTTTTCGACTGTTCGATGCGTTCGGCTTCCTGCATTTGCTCGGCAAGCTTGCGCTGATTATCCCTAAACTGGTTAATGGGATCCTCAAATTGACGATAATAATGCAACACTTCACGCACATCATCCACATCATTTTGCGCAATAACTGCAATGCAAACATACAATTTTGAGTATCAATCAGATTAAATTTCATGTTCTCAGCTTACTCTTCAAAAAGGCAATCAAATCAAGGAGCTGTGCATCATCGTCGTTGCCATGCCAGCGCGCAATGCCAAATGTGTTGTCCGGATGCATTTTGGTGGCATTGCTATCCCAGTCAATGACAATTACCTGCAAATATAATCGAATGGGAATGCAATTAAATACTCAACAAATCTGCAAAAGTGTATCAACATTTGTTGGCCATGTGTACAGCTGACTAAAGTAAGGATCTTCTAATCCATTGACAATTATTCTCTGATAGAGAGTTAGGGTATTTCATCTTGAACTTGAGATTGTTTTTCATTTCTTGTTTTTTTTTTTTCGGATAATGAGTTTCTTAAAACATACGTAATGCAGCTTAAGGTTGGGGCGAAAACTTACACGTCTGAGGTCGCGATTTAAATTGTCCAGATTTTTGACGTGGTGACCATCAACGAAATGGGTGGCATCGCGGACCAAGCGGTACATAATGTAGCCATTGGGATCCAGGGCATCCAATATGGGAAATACTGTCATGCCCTGTTCGGCAGTAAAGACAACAATTTCAAAGTCTTTGGCGCATTCCTGCAAAAAGTGATCGACGCCGGGGCGCTTCTTAAAGCGCCACCCAGTCTGATATGTCCAATCCGGATGAACCAGCACATCCTTCATTTCTAGGACAAGCGTGTAACGCGGCTGCACATATGGATGCTTGAGCGGATCAGGCAATAGTTTCGCACGTGATGGTTCCTGGATCATTTTTTGATAATAGTGCAGCGATTTCCACATGCGCTGCAAATATTGTTGTACTAGCGGCTTGTGTGTAAACTCATCTTCTATGGTCTGACCCTCGGCGTCCCTTTCGGGTTGCCCAAACTTATAGATGCCCCAAAGCACAGTGGCGATGCCGCCGCCACCAAAAATGGCAAAGCTAAATGAACATAAAAGTAATAAATATCAAAAAACAATTTGACCAGGTCTAATGGTTGTGCGGCTAACCCCAGTTTCATGCGCTTCCAGGCGCGCTCGTTCTCCTTGGCCTCGTCCTCTTCGCGCTTCTTGCGTTCTTGCTCGGCATTGCTGTCCGCATCGGGCGAAGTTTGTGGAAAAAGTTTTGAGAGCAATGGCGACGCAGTCTCTGTGCCAGCCGGTGGTCCCTCTGTGGAAATTGTGCATGTGTGTGTGTGTTTTGAGTGTTGAGTAATCAACTGGGTCAAAGCAGGAACTACTTACTAGCATTGCTGTAGCATCTTCTGCCGCTCGACAAGGCTGCACACTCCACCTGTGCTTTGTTTGTGTGAATCGCAGCGCCCGTTGACAGCGGACGGCAGTGCAGAGGCGCCGGCGACAATGGCAACGACTGATTACCCAATGCAAATGTGCGCCGCAATCGGTTTGCAAATGTGTGAAAGGAAGCACGTGGTGCGTTTAATCGTATTAATTGTATGACTGGAACTGGCGCCATGCTCATGATTCTGTTGCTTAAGTGCTGTGCACAAATTCCTATGCTCTGACACTTTCAAATGCAGTTGTTTTTTTTATTGCTTTTTTGACCTGGCCAAACCCCCTTAGGACTTAACCGGCATGGCAGCGAAAATTCTTGCATATGCTTCTGTCATACGGTCACACTGGCACCATCAGCTGACTTTTGATCGAAGCAGTCTGGCAGCACTGTCAACTAGAGCTGACAAAAATTGTGTGTAAACAAGCTAACCAAAGCCAAACAATAACAATAACAACCGAAACATGTCCATTTGCGAGGACACAGCAACGGTTGAGGAAGCCGAGCTGCGCTTGTGTCGCGTTTGCAATGTTCCGTCGATGCAATCGCTGCCGCTCTATAAGCCACATATCATCGCCGGCGAGCTGACGACGCTAGCAGCGCTGCTCAGCTATTGCGCCAATTTGCAGGTGCTCGAGGAGGAGCGGTTCCTGCCCACACACATGTGCAAGCGCTGTGGGGACTTGCTAACGCAAGTATATAAATTCAAGCGCACAGCTCTGCGCACTGACCATCTGCTTAGAAAGCGCAATGCGATATCTTCAAGAGCCGCCATTTCCCGCTCCCCATCACTAGCCGATCTGCGAGGACAACTTGAACAGGCTGATGCCGACGACGATACCGAAACAGATGCTATCATCGAATCAGCTGGCTCTGATGAGTATGTTTATGTGCTGGCGGAAACGGAATCGCTGGCGTCAAATGCGGACAGCGTTGTGTCCAATCAGCAGGATCAGGTGTACCCTGTGGCTGACGAAATACCCGAAAATGAAGTGCATTTTGAAAGCGTTGAGCCCAATGTTGAGGTCTTTGAGGTGGACTATGACTTACCAGAGGATTCTGAAAACGAGCAGGCACAGAGCAATATAGAAGCTGACCACAGCGTCAAGCCGCGTGCGACGCAGCGTCGTAAATCTCTGAATCCCGCCCTGCAATGCCTGGTGAGTAACTGCATTTATCCAATATATCATATTAATCCCATTCATATTTTTTTGTAGATTTGCGGCAAGCAGCTCAGCACCAGCAATTCATTTAAGTATCACATGCAACTGCATGGCGATAATAGGCCATTTGTGTGCAGCATTTGCGGGGATTCGTTCAAGACGCGCAATGCCTATGATGGTCATATAACGCTGCATAATCCCAACAATCCCAACAAGTGTACAATTTGCGGTAAAATCTACCGGCAGGCATCATCGCTGCGCTCCCACCTGTATAGCCATAGCGGCGTCAAGCCATTCACCTGCGATGTCTGCGGCAAGGGATTGACCCAAAAGTCTGGCTATAAAAAACACATGCTCACCCATACGGGCGAGAAGCCGCATAATTGCGACACCTGCGGCCGCCACTTCCGCTACTCCAGCAACCTGATCGCGCACAAGCGCTCCCATACACGCAAAACTCCCACCAACCTGAAGACAGCTACCAGCAAAGGCTCTTCAAAGGCAGCCCATACGTGAATCCACAAATATACAACCAAAGGTCATGCCCAATATCAGCCGTCTTATCTTTGAGAGAACTGATCAGAGCGCGGCAAATAAAACGGCCATTGGGCATTTTGAATAGAAAATCTGTTCGGCATTGCTTATGGAGACAATTAATGCTATTACCTCTCTCTCTTATCTTGCCAAAAAGGATAACAGGAATCACATTTTGCATAGTTTATAACAAGGTTGCGAGTCCCATTAAAAATGATGACTTTCTGGCTTGAGGTTTGTTTTTGCCATAAAGCTTAGTTTGGTCGATGTATAACAAATGTTAATGAAACAATTTAATTTTTAATTTGATTGCCCGTTCTACTGAAAATATTGCAATATAATATTTTCATATAGTTCGTGCGGGCTAAATTTGATTTGTACCCGAAATTGGCATCTACCAAATATGGTTAGATAAATCCAATTGGATTGGGGCCCAAGTTATGCATGCTTCGTGTTCGGTTGCTTTTAAGACAAGTTTATAGTGTGATTTTAATTTAAATAATAATTGGAGTTCAAGTTTTCCAACTGTATAAATACCAGCTCCAGCATATCCCTCCTGTCTTGGTTTGTAAGTTAAATATTTATACAGACCGTGTATAAGAGTTTTTTTTTAAACAGATTTTTTTTTTAGAAAAAAAGGACCAGTATTAGGATGAGTAGCTTTTTATTTTAAGAATTTTGGATTTTAAAAGTTATATTTGGCAATTTGCGCATTTTCATCTTAAATTTTATGTTTATTATTTAACTTCTATGCTATTCTATTTCTATTTTACGAATTAGATTAGATCACTGACAAACTCCGAGATGTCCGATGAACAGTGTATAAGATCATTTTCAGCAGTTTCTAGAGCAGCACAGGCTACATTTTGTACTTAGCATATATTTGTTGTTTTTAAAGCTTCTTCTGTTTATGACCAGGATTAGGGAACGTATCTTAGCTGCATGCCAGTTGTAGATACTTTCTTATAATGCAAAAGTTGATAGACTGATCGGATTTTATTGCGGCGCAAATGTGAATTTTTAAAATTTTTTTTATTGGTTTTTTAAGGTTTTCAGTTTTTATACATACACATCCTGTCAAAGTACAACTAATTACAGCCTTTTTAATATATGTGAAGTATCAACCCGGATTAAAGCTGTGACTTTTACCAAATTAACATTTTTTTAGCTGAGGAATGGCTAACAAATCACATATATCTTCCTTTTAACAATCCAAAAACTACATTACAAATTTTCAAAAACAAAAAATAAAAAAAAAAACACCCCAAAACGGGCATATTTAAATATATCATTACGATAAAACTATTGAAACCTGATTACTTGAAATTTATGAACATCTGTATGCGTGTGTCAGGTTATTTCTTTTGAGTCTGCGATTCTTTGCAGGATCAGTAAAGCTCATTTACTGGACCAGGGAATCGCAAGCTTTGTGATGAAATAGCGATAGATGGACATGCCTGTGTATGTACGTATGTATATCTATAACTATATACATAGGTAGGTGTAGATTTTGATGTGATACAAGTTAAAACTAAGCTTAGTCAGTACGATATTTAGAGCACCACAACTACTTTGGAGGTGGAAACCTGCTGATCCATTACGTCGGGCATGTTCATGGCTGTGCGACGGCCGGCCGCCACCACCGCTACGCGCTGGCCATGCATAGAGCCGATGGTGCCAGTATTGGTGGCGATGGGATTGCTGGTTGCAGTAACTGGTGCTTCCTTGTTGTGGACACGCATATGGCTGTTTAGGCGCTTTTTGGTGGGGAATGCCTTCATGCATTTGTCGCACTTGAATGGCTTCTCACCGGAGTGCAGGCGCACATGGGCATTCAGGTTGCTGGTGAAGGTAAAGGCACGTCCGCAGATGTGACATTTGTGCGGCTTTTCCCCGGAATGCACAAGCATGTGCTTCTTATAGCCGGATTTTTGTGAGAGGCCAACGCCGCAGATTTCGCAGGTGAACGCCTTCTCGCCCGTATGGCTGATCTTGTGCTGGCGCAGCGACGACGAATCGTAGTAGGCCTTATCACACAAATCACACGCATAGGGACGCTCGCCGGTGTGTGTCAGCTTGTGACGACGCAGATGATCAAAGGCCGCATAGCTGCGCCCGCACTGATCGCACTTGAATGGCTTGTCCTCGGCGTGGGTGCGCATGTGGGCAGCCAGACTGGATGTGGTGCGATAAAAGCGTGCACAGACCAAGCACTGATGTGGCTTAGCATTTGTGTGGGTCAGCATGTGCTCTTTGTAGTTGCGCAAGTGCTTCAGCTTCTTACCGCACATCTCGCAAGTGTACAGCTTCTCGTCCACATGGGAGCGCATATGTTGATTGAGACGGCACTGTTGACGGAATGCCTTGTTGCAGACATGACAAACATGTGGTAGCACTTCGCCGCCAGGTCCGGCGGCTACCTGATTCGAGGCAGAGCCGTCCATTGAGTCGTCCAGAAAATCCTCACCCTCGCTATCGCCAGTCAGCTATGAGTTAACAAAATTGATATCCGTTTGTTAGTTACAATTTCACCGGTCACTTTAAACAATAATTTTATATGTTGCTTACCAAATGCTCCTCGCGCTCCATGTCCAGTATATCGTCGCCCTCGACTTCGCCAATTACCTCATCGATGGGCTCCTCACCAGACATGATGACCATTTGGTCATCGAGCATTTGGATTTGCATTTGTTCACTGACCGTTTCGAGACGCGGCGAGTCCATAACCTCGATATCATCGTCGTCTTCCACCTGCGAGTCATATTCACTTTTGATCGTCACATACTCAATGTCAGTCGTTTGGAAGTCGTTAAGCGGTTCGAGTGCATCCTCCGCTTCTAACTCCGCACCAATCTCTGCCTCAGTATCCGCGCTCACATCTTCGACGACAAACTCATCTTGCTCTTGTTCTTGATCATTGTAGGCCTCAACGAGTGCGGAAACATCTTGCGAACTGGAGCCCGTTTTATCCGCAGACTGTTGGGCCTCGGCCTCGTCGCTAAGCAGCTCGATCATTACATACTCCTGGTTATTGGCGTTCAGATTGGCGTTATTGTTATCAACTTCCTCGAGGCCCAGGCGTAGCAGCTCATCGGAATCGATGACCATGCGCTTGAAATTGAATGCCTGCTCCAGCAACTGCAGGCAATGCATGCATATGTGTTGCGGCATTGCAGCGCCATCCTGCGGCTCGAACGAAAGACTGGAGCAATAGTGCAGCATGTTGGCGAGCGTGGTGCTGCCCTCAGGGCCGATCTCAATTTCGTCTTGCAGCGATTTATATTGTTTACATGCACGGGTGCATGTGCGGCAGTTAAGCACCACGCCTGATTTGCTGCCGCTCATCATTTTTGCTTGGCTGTGTAAATATATCGTTCGTTTGCGTTTTTTGCCCGCAGTTGCAGTTGCCACTGTTTACAACTGCAAATGTATAGCGCCGATTTTAATGCGCAACTTCTTTTCTATTTGCCATTCGCGTGTACTGTTGGCTCGAGTTAAAAAAAAAACACACACAAGTTGTATTGGCATATGCACAGTCACACAGTCTCGTTCGCTTCAAAATGGCGTCGACAGTAGCTGTGTCGCAAGCGGGCGAAACAAGAAGAAGCACTTGACAAACAGTGCTGGGAAACGGCGCCTAAAATGTTTTAGCACTTTTTTCAAATGCCCACACTTGTATTTAGCGTATGCACATAGAAATAGATTTTTTAAATATTTATTTATAATACAAATGAATTATTACGATGGTGTACAAAGCTGTTTATGGCTGGATACTGCAGCGTAGCCTTAGTTTCTGCTGGTAAATATGCTACTGCTGACCCTGGACGGGAATGAGAATTTTTAGTGCCTTGCATAATGCAATCGGTCTGTTTTGGGGACTCGGCTCTACGTCGGGCCAATCTAAAAATGCAAGAATTCTAGAATTTTCATTTCGTTTAACTCAATGTTAAACTTACCGGCGTTGAGCCTCCTCTCTTCGAATTTTAACAATGTGACTTATTCTCCGCGCACGAAATTCGAGCTGCTTTCGCGTCGCACGAAGTCGATGCCCTTCCAAGTAATGTTTTCGACAGAGTGTGCGTGCCAACTGTATGTCCTTATCTAACTTAAGTTCTTCTTTTTCCTGTGCAAGCAGAAAAATTACGAATTGTGGTGTAAAATCATTCAAATTTAAAGAATTTTACCTTTTTGGATATATGCGTATCCAAACTGTTGATATGTGTTTTCTGAAAGGCGTCGATTAGATCGTGAGGCAGGCCGTCGCGCCATGGCTCTGGATGAAACATATCCTTGAGATTTGTGGGCAGCGCATTGTTCACCTGCCGACCGCGCACATTTTTACGGCAAATCGGGCACGTATACGTGGGTGCGTCGCCGGGAATGCGACCCAAACTGGCAGTAACGCATTTTTCGCATATAACATGCTGACAGGCCAGCAAAAATAACATGGTCTGCTCATCGACATAATGCGCAAAGCAGCAATTGCAGTGAATCCACAATTTGCTTGCCTTGGCTTCATCAATTATAATCTCCGATTCATCAAGGTCCTCGTTGTCCATGATTCACTTTTCATCAACGCATTGAAAAAATATCTGTTCTGTAATCGTAACGGGTTTCGGCCTTTGCCATTCACAATTTACGTATTAACTGTGATTACTGAAAATCAGCTGGGTTGTAACTTCGTTCATGCTAGGTATGCAGCTCGCTGTTAATTATGTGTTTAATACAATTATTAAAAAAATAGAAACACAAAAAATAAGGCTTAAAACTTATCTGCGCATTTGATTTGCTTGTATTTTGTAGAAATCTATGGCCTTACGCGCCCAATAACCTGTGATCAGCATACTAGGCACTAGTGTGTTAAATCTTTGTATACGCATACATACACATACATAAGTGCACATACGTAAGTTAACATTTTGCAGCAGAATGTTTGGTTTTATGAAACTACTTTTCAAATATCGACTTGCATTCATATTAATCATTATAGCCGTGTTGGTTAAACTCTATCAGAAAGATGTTGTGCAGCTCTTACAAATCGCAGCTGAGCGCTATTTGAATATCGCCGCCAATAAGCAGACGGACAGCGTCTCCGTGCAGTTCACAGATACACGCGGCAACCTCTACACACCGGAGCAGCTGGCCACGTACAATGGCGAGAATGGAGCAGCCATCTATTTGTCGCTGCTTGGCGCCGTCTTTGACGTTTCACGTGGCCTAAAGCACTACGGACCCGGCTGCAGTTATAATTACTTTGTTGGTCGCGATGCTTCCGTTTCGTTTGTGAGTGGAGAGTTCGAGCACTACGATCCGAAGACGGCTGATGACGTGCTCAGCCTGAAGCCCAGCGACCTGATCGAGCTGGCCAAGTGGCAACAGTTTTACGAGAAGGAATACACATATAAAGGCAAACTTATTGGACGCTTCTATGACGAAGAAGGCAAGTCGACCGTCTACCATCAGAAATACCTTGCACTGCTGGACCAGGCACAGATAGCCAAGTCGCAAGTAGATGAGCTGCGCAACAGATATCCTGGCTGTAATATCGAGTGGTCCGAGGCGAAAGGCACACGCGTCTGGTGTACCACAACAAGCGGCGATGGCAAGAAGCGCGATTGGCCCGGCTATCCACGCAAGCTATATGATCGTGACAATAAGAATTTTCATTGCGCCTGCGTGCCCGAAGCGGAGTTAAATGATCCAATGTTCAAATCATATGAGAACTGTGCGTTTCGCTCGGAGGAATGTTTTTATCGTGTCTGAATATTGTACATATATCAATGTTATTATAGCTTATGGCTTCAAGTTGTGAACAAAATACAATACTAATATACACTACATCTAAAACTTTTATTTAATTAATTAATTTATTTAAATCATTGTCTTAAATTATAATTGCGAGCCTCAGTTTATATGTATGTATGTACGTGCTAGTGTGCGGTGTTCCAATATCTACAACTTTGCCTTGAACTCAATTTTCAATATTTAGAAATATGTATGTATATAAAATGTACTCGAGTTTTAATTAAAATGAAAATGCATTATTTTTTGCTATGAATTTAGTGACATTTTTTCGCAGAACTTTTAGAGCTAAATCTTAGAAATTTATTTAAGATCTATTACATATTTTATTTTATAATTTTGCTAAAGGCATTATATAAAAATGTGTTATCCAATTGCAAAAATAATTATATTATTTTCAAACTTTAGTTTTACAAAAAAAAAAAAAATACTTTTGGTTTTTGTTTTTTTTTGTTTTTTTCAACATATGGCAACTTTGATGTGAAATTCTTGTTTCGATTAAACAATCGTCAATCAAGAGAACACCTAACAAAAACACAGAGAAAAATACAAAAAAGTAAGACGATAATTCAACTTTCGACATTCTATTGAGGAGTTTCAAACAAAATACAAAATTCGACGTGAAATTATTATAATATACAGATTTTTCGCTAATTTTGTTCGCCATTCGACTGCTGCCAGTGAGTAAAAACAGTGTGACCGACGAGTGATAATGCGAATAATTGCGCGTTTGCTTGCAGGGCTTATGATATAATGTCGCGTACGTTGAGTCGTTTATTTGGACGCTGCCTGATTAGCCATGCCTATGTGAGACCCTTGCAGGCAAATGGTGTGATGAGAAATTTTCTTGAAGCACAGCCGATGCAAGCTATGTGCGGTGGCTGCATTGCACCATATTCGAAGCGAAATGGTCCACCTCACGATGCGGGCGAGCCTTTTAAAACCGTGTCCAAGACACGAAATGTTGATGATGGTAAGTTGTGGACAGACTCACAATTGTCCACAAAGTCAAGTCCACACAATAATTGTGCGTAAATGTTCGGCAGACGATCTTAACAGCCTCGAGGGAGAGCCCAACTGGGAGCTTACTTCGCAACGTAGCAATCGCTTCTATTTGCCAAATGCCACCGGACCTGCATGGCAGGGCGATACATCCACAGTGGGTCTAATGGAACCACTAGCTCATCTAGTCAATTTCTTTAAGGACGATAACGTGGACAAATCACGTTTAGAGTTTGCATGCTGTCAGTGCCCAGTGTTGATACGCGATTCAATATTTGAACAATTCCCAGTTCGCGCGATTGGACAAAGGGACTATGCCATAACACTTCTCACACTCAGCTACGAGGGCGACATAGAGAAGGGTGCAGCCAAGGTAAGCGCATGCCCCCACACACATATACACACGGCAGCAATCACTGCAAATATCGCTTTTCTAATTTATTACAGTTTGTGCTCGCTGCCAGAGAAATAAGCGATCGTTTGCTTTCGTTGGGCTATTGGGCAGACTTTTTAAATCCATTTAGTGGACGTCCATATTTTTTACCCAGAGACGGGTCTATATTGTACAAACAGGACTGCCGCTTCCGCGGACTCAATATGCGTCTGTCCAATCACAACGAGTGCGTGCTTATCGCTGCCGAAGAAAACGATAGCATTTACTTCTCAGGCACCATCTTCTGTACAGCGCCGAATAACTATAGTCTGCTGGTAGAGCTGCTCGCACCTACAGAGTTTAAAATGCGAATTGAGGATGTACCGGAATGACAGTGGATAACCGTCAACAACAATTTCGTAGTACAATTTCCATGTAACCAACACTCAACAATAGCGCAACATGCGACCTTGGCTGGTCAGCAGAAGATAACGAAAGACAAGACGTAGCCGTTTAGTGATGACAACTGTGTTAATTGCCAAGTTTTTGTTCGGACTTGTCATAAACATTGTGTACAAACTATTTTCACACTCTATAAGTTTGTAAAACACATATTTAAATTACACGCATATGTATGTATATGTATATGTAATATATATATATGTATATATATTGAACTGATTTCCATACACTTATTTATTAATTCTACGTAATGGCCACCTGATTGCAGTGTCTTTCAATATCCTTTAGACGATTTATCAGCGATTGCAGCTCCTCGGCATTGCACACGAACTCCACAATAGACACGCGTTCCCCGCTGCTCTGGCGATACTGTCCCAAATTGATGTGGAAATGTGGAGCACCGCTGCTAGAGTCTGATGTTGAGGATTTCACATCGCAGACAATGCGCCACTGCACGTCGGTGATGTGCGGAAAACTGTGGCCCAGCTGCAGTTGACGCAGCACTAGATCCTTGCGATTGTCCTCGTAGACTCGTGTCAGTTCATCAATGGCGATGGCATTTATGGACAGTGTTTCCAATTGCTGACGCAGCGTCACACTGTCCCAACCATGTTTTGTGGCCACGGCGTAGAGTGTGACCACAGCATATTCGCTCTGTTTGGCGCTGGCTGCGTTCGAGGCGTAAATTTCGGGCACTGGTGCTATAACTGGTTATCAAACAATTCGTAATTAATTCGACTAGGGCAATATTAATGTTGCATACTTGCATCTGGATGAAGCGTTAATTTTAATGAATTGGCAATTAACGTTTTGCTTATGGTCGCTGTTAGAGAAGTGCCCAAGTTCTTTAAGCCAGCTATCACGGTCGCCGAGAGCAATCCATTACTAGCATCTGTGGTAGTGGCATTGGATGTGCTCGGGCACTGCGTTGCGGTGGCCATTAACAACAATTTTTGCAGACGCTACACATAAAGCAAGAATAATAATAAACAGCTGTGCATTTGCCATTCACAACGAGCGATCACTGTTTGGTTAACAGTGCGAATATGCACGTTGTGTTAAAAGGGGATTAACTGTCTTCCAGCCTGTTAATGCTGTCGCTGCTGCGTCTGCTGTTGCTGTTATAGTCGAGGCTAACATCGCTGTTGCTGCTGGCGCAGTTCTTGTCACATGCATTGCAGCTCGAATTAGGCGTGATAAGGTTGTGCCGATTGTTGGAATGCGCTGACACAGCTTACGTGGCAGGTGTGCATGCATCCTAAACTTCGTCATAGGTCATTTGTTTTTTGTTTAACAATCGTAACACGAATACACGTCATAACGGTTTCATGCGCCATTTTCAAAACAGCCAAACAGCTGTTCGAGATATCTGTAGCTAACGGGAACAAAATCTGCCTCGAAGTAAAATTATAGTTCAAATTTGAATATGTATTTTTTATCTCTGTTAAGCTAGTTTATTCGTAAACTTGAAAAATTGTAGGGGAAAATACTTTTCTTGTAGATAATTTGTTTATTGTGAACCAGATATAACATTTTGTTTTAACACAAACATACATTATTATACATACATATATGAATATTATATTTTGATTATTGGCTTGGGCTAAGGGCATGCGTGTAGAACGTCTTTTCTTCCAAACCGCGCTTAATAACATGCGGTATTTGCTTGGGCTCCATGCTGTGAATTAAAAGAGTTTTTATTATTACACACATAATTCAAGACCTTCCTCTTATTTATAGACACCATCAAGGCATCGCGTGATAAGAATACAAAATAAGAATTACAGATTCGCTATAAGAGCACGTCGAAGACATGTCGTGTAGTGCTCAAAGCAGAAAGAAAGAGAGAGAAAGAGAGAAAGAAAGAGAGGGAGACAGGGTACTGGAAGACGACCAGCAAGACAGGTATCCTCATCAGAATTCGATAGACAGGCACTTACCGAATGCAATCGATGATGGGACAGACGGAGACACAGAGCGTGCAGCCGGTGCAGTCGTCGTTGACGTGCGGCAAATGCGTGTCCTTATCAAATTCAATTGCCTGATAGCCGGAGTCAGCGCAAGTCATGTAGCACTTGCCACAATTGATGCACATGTCCTGTAGGGGATAAATATGAATGTATAAGTACAATTGTGCAGGTCAATTGAAGGTCCATGGAAACCTACATCATTGATTAGAGCCACCTTCTGTTGCTTGTTGTCGAGGCTCTTGTAGGCACCGATACGCGGCAGAGCCGCACCAATGACATCTGTAATTTTGGGTGCGGGCTTAACATCAGCGGAGCTGGTCGCGTCTACGGTAGCCTGTTGCGCATCCCAAAAGGCACCCTTCTGCTTGCGCAAGTCGGCCAATTTGATGTCACGCTGCTGCTGATAGGGACCAAAGAAGCCGAGCGTTTGGTTGCCACTGCCGGTCAAATGGACGACAGGCTTGCCCTTCTGGTGCACTGGCGTTGGCGGCGATTGGCCATCCCAGAAAGCGCCATTGACTGGCGGAGGATTCGCCTTCAGGTAGAGCAAAGCCTTCAAGCTGGTGCAATAGTCATCAATGAGCGTGAAGTCTTGATTCTGTACGGAGGAGCAAATCTGCAGCACTGTGGCGCCAGCCTGAAGGAACTGAAGCGCCACCTCACCGGAATCAATGCCTCCAATGCCCAATATGGCAAATCCTGGCAGCTTTTTGGCTATTTCCGAAACGGCACGCAGCGCAATGGGACGCGTGGCATTGCCAGAGACACCGCCGTATGTGGTGCGCTGCTCCTTACCAACCGCTGGCCAAGCTGTGGCATCCGCTTTCAGGCTCATCAAACCCTGAACCGTATTAATTGCAGAGCCGCCATCGGCGCCACCACGTTGCGCTGCTTGGGCAATGGACACAATGTCCGTGATATTTGGCGTTAGCTTGATAAAGAAGGGTACTTTGACAGCCTTGCGCACCCAACGCGAGATATCCTCGACTAACTTGGGCTCCTGACCGCAAGCCAAGCCCATGCCACTCTCACCCATGCCGTGTGGGCAGGACAGATTTAGCTCCAGGGCATCGGCGCCAGACTGTTCCGCTTTGATAGCCAGTTCCGTCCAGTCCGCCTCGTTGTAACCGCACATGATGCTCGCAATGATGATCTTCTCGGGAAAGTCACGCTTCAGCTCGCCAATGGAGCGCAGCCAATATTCGGCACGCTTCTCTGATATGAGCTCAATATTGAGGAAGCAGCCCTGTTGCGGTCCGTACCTGTAGCCGGAGGTAGTGCCGCGCACAATGCGCGGCGAAACATTCGTGACCATATCCTTGTCCAGGCCAAATGTCTTTGTCACAACAAATCCCCAGCCCTGCTCAAAGGCGCGGCGTATCATCGCCGCACTGGTGGTTGGCGGTGCGGAGGCCAGCCCAAAGGGATTCTCGAATTTCAGGCCACACATCTCCACGGATATGTCAACGTTATCAATATCCGTATAGAAGAGTGGCAGTGCGGCGGGTGTGTCCAGTGGCAGGCCCTGCAGCTGGCAGTGGATGCTCCAGGCGGCCACTTTGCCATCGTTGACCGACTCAACGGTGGTGTTAGCCACACCAGCCAAGTCACCGCCAAGAAAGACCTGTGGCACGCTGCTCTGCATCGTTTGGCGATCCACGACAGGCAATCCGCTACGGAATAACAGCGGAGACAGCGCATCTTTTACATCCGGATCTTGCAGTCCGGAGCCAAAAGCGGAGATGACAAAGTTTGCCTTCAGACGCACTGTCTGCTCCTCATCCTCAACCCATTCGTCTTGATCATTCTGCTCGGTGCGACAGAATTCCATGGCCGTGATCTGGCCATCCTTGACAATGACCTTGCGCGGACTCAAATATGGCATCAGCTCACAACGCTCCTCACGCGCCAGTTCCACCTCCTCGGGTACGGCCCGAATGCCAGACGAGCCCTTGCGAAAGACGACGAATACGCGCCGCGCACCACAGCGGAGCGCGGAAGTGGCGCAATCAAAGGCTGTATCGCCGGCACCCAGGACAATAACATTGCCGTAAAGCTTGGGCAGCGACTGGGCCGACTTGCAGGCGCATAGACCTGGCTTAGAGCCGTCAGAGACCAATGGCAAAAAGTTTTTGGACGTATAGAAACCCGTCTGAGTGCTTAAGCCATTGAAAATAGGATCGATCTTTGGTTCGGGCAGGCCGATGCCAACAAATATTGCGTCGTGTCCGCTGGACAGCAAGCCCTGTAAACAGAGAAATAAACATTTGTTTAATTTGTAATGTCAAATTTAATTGTGATTAGTTTTTTCGTGCACCAAATCCAAAATCTGGAAACGCACGTTGAGAAGAATCCTGTTTAAATACGCCTTGCTGGTGCTGCCATATGTACGCTGCAACGCAGGGTGGCAACACAGGAAATTAAGTTACATTATCATGAAAGTACATTGGGTTTGGCAAAAAGTAAAGCTTAAAACAAGCAAGGAAGATTACAGACAATTAATTAAACATGAGTAAGCACGACTAAATTAGGCATTCAATTATTTGTTAATCGAGAATAACAACAGTAATGGCTGATTGGTTTAACTGATAGCTCATAAACTATAGTTTTAATAGTAGCTTTCTATAATCATGCAATCAAACTGCTGTTAAGAGGGACACAACTAAACGAATATTTAAAATTTCTTTAAATATTTTTAAGAGACATATGTACATACATATGTATACTATGTACACACATATAAACAAAAAAGCCCGCTTATTTGTCAACAGCGTTGCCATCATATTATAATGTGTGGACACACTGGATTCAGTGTTGATCAATGTGTAACATTTAGCATATAAAATAAGGAAGGAATTTTAAAATGTATATAATAGTAGACTTTGGAACGAAATGAACGTAACTGGGTATTGTCATATGTGGTTACTTACTTGAATGGTCAAATCCTTGGTGCTAAGCGAGCGTTGCAATTCGAATTTAACGTCCAGATCCTTCACCAGATCAATCTCAAAATTGACCACATCGATGGGCAGTCGATATTGCGGTATTTCCGCAGAACTTAGACCGCCCAGATAACTGCGGCGCTCATAGATGGTAATATCTGTGTAGCCCAAACGGCCAAGGAATGTAGCACAAGAGAGTGAGGCAGGTCCGCCACCCAGCAGTGCAATCTTCTTGCTCGGCTGCGCCAGCGGCTTGAGATCTCGCGAGCGTCGCTGGTGTACGCCCATTTTCTTAAACACCTCGGTGGCAAACTGCTGGAGACCACCAATGTTGATGGGGCCAGCTTCGGAGGCCAGCAAGTTGCAGCCGCCAACGCACAGATCACTGGTGGGGCAGACCATGCCGCAGGTGAGGCCCAGCGGATTATCCGAGAAAATTGCCTTGGCAGCGCCATAGAAATTCTTATTGGCAATGCTCGTGATGAAGCTCTTAATGTCCAGCTGCGTGGGGCAGGATTTTTGGCAGGGCGCATCGGCGCATTTCAGACAGCGTGCGGCCTCCTCAAGAGCCCCACGCTCCGACAGTGTCGTGTGCTTAATATCCTCAAAGTTATTGGCCAGCGTTGTGCACGGCACTGCGGTGTGATCCGCATTGCGTTTCCAATGCTTCTTGTTCTCCTTGGTCTGCTTCGTGGGCACCACGCTGCATTGCGTCTTAACGCGTGGATTTAAGGCCAACAGGTCCTGCAAGGAAGTAATCATCCGTATTCAAATACTGTCGATCAATGCCACATTTATGCGACCTACCTCAATATCGGGCGTATCTTTGCTCAGCATTGCCGGTGGACTCATCTTGATGAAGATTGCCTGGTTTAGTTACTGGATGGCTGCAAAAACAATGTGTTCCACTGGGTAAGTCCACATGAATATATGTATATGTATATGTTCTAATGTATATGTGCGTGTTTGGGCTTGAACATGATCTAATCGCGGCGCAGGGGTCTTACAGTTTTAGTTTAGTGCTTGCCGATGGGCCCTTCTTATCAAGCGGGCGTGGTCCGATGCCGAACACTCGAGAGATTAGGATGT